CTTACACATTTAGAGTTTCAGATAAGTAAAGTTGAGGTATGATCTGATGTTTTTTCATACCTAGTTTTAAAACTGCTTACAGCATTGCTGCTCTGTGTTTCCATCCTGAAGAACCACAACACACAGACAAAAAGAAGTTTTTTCTCCATTTTAAAAAGTTCTAGCCCTCCCATTGGCTCTTTTGGTCAGGTGCCCACTCCTTTTCCTTTACCTGGGGAACTTTATTAACCCTTTACAAGTAAAGCAAGCAGAGAATAGCCACCAAGAGGGACTTTATAGCTAACTGGCTGGCTGGGTGCCTGTAAAAGGGAGCTCCCCCCTCTCTCCATTTATTACAGCTACCATGGATTAATAAAAATTCACACCCTCCAGAAACTTTGACAAAGGCTACTCTGAATTTGGGATAGAACTAAAGATAAGTTCTTTTCATTCACCAATGACACCCATTACAAATAAGACAGATCTTAATCCAAATCACAAATCAGAGAGCTTCAAAGATTGGGAGAGACATGGCATATGCATGGTTGGCCTCCTTCCTACTCAGTAAAGAAACCTACTTAGAGATCAAAACTTACTTTAACTGGCCCATTCTCTCTTGGTACCAATGCTTTCAATTCAGGCATTGTTTCTCAACTTTCTAGACAACCTGCTCTATTAAAGTTAGCTTTCTGTACAAAAGCAGTGGCATCTGGTCAATTAGGAAATGAAAATTATAGCTAATTTATATCAATCTTTGTAGACAGCTTTCCTAACAAACATGTCCATATATGATACACTGGGAAAAGGATATGAATAGACAGAATGGAGTTTGATTTGGAAAAGAGGACCAGCAAACTCAGTCTGTAGCACAATAAAAGAAAATTCCTGTAAGATACTGTTTCAATGGTCCCCAAGAAGAGTCAAGTTAAAAAATATACAGACTGAATGGCAATAAACGTTGGAGAAATTGTGGTGAAAGAAGAGATTTTATGCACATATGATGGACATGTCCAGTCAAAATATTGGGATACAATCCATAACCAAATATCACAAATTGTTGGACATTTATTACCAGCTGATCCTTTGGTCATCCTTTTGGGGCTTCCTCAAGGAGATGGTCACACAGAATAAAATGAAGAATTAATTTCTCATCTGCTAGTAGCTGCTCAGCTACTGATAGCCTCTCACTGGAAAAAGGAAAAATAGCCCAACCATTGAGAAATGGTTCAAAGAAAATGGGAGTTTGTGGTTATGGAAAAATTAATACACCAATTACATACCCAACAAAAGAGACAGAGCACCGATAGATACTTAGATATTTGATTACCTTAAATTCAGTAATCAAAGTAAATTCACCTGCCAAAAAGAAAGCTCATCATACATGTCAAATTTTTTTGAATATTAACATTTGATAGACCTACCTGGTCTGTTAAATATGTGTCTATAGAGATTTCACTCAATTTATTAAAATCACTAGAAATGACAGTGTTGTAATGATGCTTACTCTGCAATATGATAACACCCTGTCCAGTAGAAATATCTGACTATAGTCCTGTATAATGTCTCTTTAAACAAAAGCTAACTATTGTAATGATTGTTTTGGTTCTGATATTTACAGTCAAGGATTTGTAAACTTGATAATTTCCTAAATAGATCTAAAAAAATTAAATTAGCATGTTATTTACAAGATGAAAGACAGAGATGATGCAGATACAGTACAGGTTACTTCAGTTTTGCTCTAACTTGATCCTTTAAGAAGGAGCATCGAGTATTAAATATATCCCTGGGGGGGACGGGGAAAATATAGAGACCTAGATTTTTTTCAAACAGGCCACAAGATGTCCTCACTACTCCAACACAAATCCAGCTAACAGTATTCTGATATGCCAGTGTCACCACATGACTGGCCCCTTTAAGAGGGAGCAGGGGCCTGTATACCTGGAATGATTACCTGGTGGGGGGTTAAGAGCAGACACCTGTGCCAGACACTGGGAACAGTTCCTGCAGGTTGCAGAGAGCTGTTACTTGGGGATCTCTCTCACCCAAGGAACTGCTGAAAGGTGCTTGAGGGAAGCAGCTGGGGAAGTTTCTGGAGGAACTGGTATGAGAAGAAGTTACACAGGTCTCCTGGAAGACCCTGGACTTGGGGGAAAGGATTTGGGCCTGAGAGCCAGAATGGAGGGCCAGGGAGAGCAGACTCTAGGGGAGCAGAAATGACTCCAGATCAGACTTGGGGGTGGGCGGGAAGGACAGAAGAGAAGAGAAGCCCCAGGACTGAGTATTGTCTTCTGTTTGAGACAAATGCATTAGGCCCTGGGAGAAGGGGCAATTGTTGAACAAAAATAAAGTCTGTGTGGCGTTCATTTAAATTGTTGCTTGAAGGGGGAAATGGATGCAGGGCTGCTGCAAAGACACAGCTGTCCAGCAGTGGGTATTTCAGGGTAAGTGCACATTGTCTGCCAGTTACAACTGGCCTTAGCATACAGAAACATTGGGTGCATGTGATTGGAGCAAGTTGAATTATTTGTTGTGAATAGTATTTGTAGTGAATTAGCTCTCTTTGTAAATTATTCACACACCAATCCTGATTTCTGCCAATATATTTGTGTAGATATATGCTGACTGTTTGGACACACAATTGTCAGCCTGCAGGTTGTATGAATCATTCATTTTGACTAGTTGCTTGTCAGAATATGATGTTGTCGGTAACGTAAATCACATGATATTGTTTGAGTTCCCTGATTAGATGACAAAAATGTTTTATACCAGTAAATGGATGAATAACAAATGATGTACTTTTGCCTCAAATTTTCAGGCAAACAATTGTGTTCATGAAACTTTTGGGGGATTAATGAAAACTTTCAGGAAGATCCAGCAGTTGTCCAAATACTTACAGTTAAAAAAATAACATCAATCCATGAATAATAGCAAACAAGAGCTGGTGCTCTTATGATTTGTGAGTATGTTTATGAATGGGGGGTTTCCAGTCAGCTTTGATTGCAGGCCTTGACTCCCCCCCCCACACACACACTCACACTCTGTTAAGCACAAAGAGGTCTTTCTAGATGAGATCCAGCCCAAAATGTGTTGACTAACTGTAAGGGGACTGTTGCCCCTTTACTAACAATCAGTGGGGGTGTTTTGGTTGGCTAGCTCCCAGTACTCAAAGGGGAAGGGTCTATGGGAAATCAGGACCCTGAGACTGATAGTCCCCAGGAACAATGGGGAAAGGCCAATGCTCCAGGTCAGGCTGAATGACAGGGTGGGCAGGCTAAGCAGGGAGTCAGGAGGCCAGGGAGGTCCAGTCCTCTGTGTGAGCTGGATTTGCCTGGGTCAGACAGAGTGGGGCCGAGCTAAGGAGAAAGCAGGGGCCCAAGCTAAGTTGGGGAGCAGAGCTGGGCCAGATCCAGAGGGACCAGAAAAGCAGCCCAGAGAGAGCAGACCCTGTCCTGGGAGCAGAGCTGCAGCCCCAAAGCCAGAGGCACAGCCCAGAGAGAGCAGACTTGCCCTGGGAGCAGAGCTGCAGCAACCAGAGCCAGAGGGGCCAGAAAAACAGCCCAGGAAGCAGGTCAGTGCTGGGAGCAGAGTCACACAAGCAGCCTGCAGAGCAGACCTGTCCTGGGAGCAGAGCAGCAACCAGAGCCAGAGGAGCCAAAGAAGCAGCCCAGGGAGCTGGAGGCAGATCAGCAGCAGTGCAGAGACAGAGGGGTGCAGCTGGGGCTGGAGCAGTCCGGAGCTGGGTGCGGTGAGCAGCTGGGCAGAGCGAGGGGGACCCTGGGCAGCGGGCCCAGCACAGGGAGACGCCTCAGCCAAGGGGCTCTGCAGGCCAGGCTTGGATCATAACCCCGATAGGGCGGGGGCCACACTGGGAAGAAGGGTCCTACCACTTAGAGCCTGAGAGCGTGTGGCCACCACCAGAGCAAGTGTCCAACCCACAGCATCCCTGCAACACAGCCAGGGCCTGAGAAGAAGGCCTGGGACTTACAAGGAACAGACTGTGAACTGCCTGGACATTCCAGAGACACTGTTTGTGATGTTCCCTGCCACAGAGCGGGTTGATGTGCTTCCTTTAACCTTTCCCATTTTTCCTTATTCTTTTTAAAATTAATTGTTGATTAAATAACTTGCATTTGCTTTAACTTGTATGTAATGGTCAGTGGGTCAGAGAAGTGGCCAGTGCAGAGAGAGTACCCCGGAGTGGGGACACCCTAGCCCCTGTCCTAGGTGACCACAGCATGGTTGGGGGTCGAGCCCCCCAGGAATCCTGGGCCCAGCCTTGTTGGGGTTACGAGGACTCTTCCAGACAGGAGAGTGGAACGGGAGTCCTCAAGGGCAGGGAGGCCATTGGGTAAAGGAAGTGGGAGCAAGGACTTAGATCCTTTTGCTAGCCCACTTCACCGGGGTAGTGCAGAAGCCAGGAAAGTTCCCCACAATAGCGGACTATTCCCCTGCTTACATCATAATTAATGTAAAAAGTAACTATGGCCCTGCTAAAAGATGCAAATAAGTTGTTACGGGTGGTGCAACACCTATAGCTAAGGTTGCCCAACACTTCCCATTATAAGAACCTGTTTACAGTGGCTTAAATCTTTGCCAGACTTTAACTGTTTGGGCTGAAAATTTCTATGCCAGGTGTCTGCATCAGGCTGAAGTTTTTTGGGACGGTTTCAGCAAAAATGGTTCTGCTGTTTCCAAGAATGAGATTATGGGGAAAATATGGTGCTTTGCCCAAGTTAATGAATTGGTTGTAGAAACTCTTTTAGAGGCTTTAACACCTCCATGCTTTGGAGCAGGAACATGAAATTTGGCAGGGACGTTGCTGTAGCATCAGGGATGTGTCTTTTGCTGTTATTATGAAAAAGTGATAAGTTTGGCCAAGTTATGAGCTTCTGAACATGTTCAGTAGAGACTTTAGTTTGGCAGCTAAAGTCTCCAAAGATTTCATCTGTACTGAGTATGCACCTTCCCCTCGCAGCAGCTCTGTGCTGAACAGGCTGCCCATATGCCATCCTCCCAGAGCAACGGAGCATTCTCCATCCTTGGGCTACATTGGCTGAAGAAGACTTCCTCTGCAATTGCTGCTCTGGGCCACTGTGTTGCTGGGCACCAGAACTGAGAGCAGGGAGCCTCTGCCTGTTCTCTCAGTGCTCCCCTGCTTACACCCAGAGAGTGAGGAGGAGAAGGAAGAAGCCTGACTTACAATGCAGAGAGATGAAGAGTTGGGGGGCAGGGTGAACACATGGAAAAGGGGCTGGAGGAACTAGGGGCTGTGGAGAAGCAGAAGAGGGGCAACAGTAGTTGGAAAGAAAGGAGAAGTAGTGGGAGACAAGAGCCCTGTGCAGGAACAGCAGGGGGGTATGAGAGCTGGATAGGAACAGTGAGGAAAGGAGGTCAGATCTGGAGGGTGGGTATATCAGTGTGGCTGGTCTGAAATAGAAGTAGAGTGAGAGGGTATCAGGAGCCATGGGAGTTCATGGAGGATAGCTGCAGGGGGCATAAGGGAAGGATCAGATGGGAAGGGCAGCAAGAGAGAGAAAGTGTAATTAAAGACTGTATTGTAGTCCATAGGCACAAAGGGGCTGAATTAAGGTTCAACAGGCAACCTTAATTCTGGCATTAATTAAGTGCCTAACTTAGCTTCTTTATTTTTTTTTTTTGTGGATTACTGAACAATACTGACAAGATTACTATATGCATTATTTCAGTTGGCTAATTCCTCACCTACAGCAGTAAGAGCAATCTGCAGATGATGATCTAAATTCCCGTAGCTCCATAATGGTGAAGAATACAGCTTTTACTGCTTTCTGAAGACACGTTGTAAAGTAAGTTTTAAAACATTATATCCCATTTTCATTATAAAATGAGTCTTGTGACATATAATCTATAGAAGTTTAGATAAAATTAGACTGGTACTGGGTCAACAGGAGATGCTAACTGACCTGGGAGAGGTGCTACCTGTTCCTAAGAGTCCATCTAAGTTTCATATCCGGTAGGACACTGGAAGGTGTCAGATCTGGTAGGACACACATTCCAAATTCAGAGGTGAATCTAGAGGGGGAGACTAAATGAAAATAATATTCACCTTTTTCTGGACCCCTCAATGTTTTTACCCATTGACAAAATAACCCGTGGAACCCATTGCCACAATATATCAGAAACCAGGAGTTTAGCACAAATCAAAAGAGGATTAGACACTTTTCATGTTTCTTGCACCTTACTGAAAAGCAGCTGGCACTGGACACTGTCAGACACAACACAGTGGACTAGATGGGCCACTGAGTTCCAGTATGAGAATCCCTATGTTTCTACATAAAATATTACCAGCTTAGATTCCTTTAGTCTAAACTGTCCTAGAGTCTACACTGGTCTAACTTGCAGGCTACGAAGCCAGAAAGAAAGGACTGTAGCAAGAAATGTCACAGGAGAGTGTAAGGAAGTGTAGGTTTAAGGCAGGCCATCCTCTGTTTTTAATTGACATTCTTAAAACCTCCTTTTGGCTCCTTGGCATGTTAATTAAAACAACTTGCCTCCTATATTCACTTATACATTGGAGAGCGTCAAAAGGGAGTGTAATTTACACCACTTTATGCATCACTTCAGAGTCAGACTAAGTCACTCACAGCTAAGAAAAGAACCTCAGGATATATCTAATATATAGTCCTTATCTCTGTTTTGGAAGACATGGATAAATTCTTTCCTCACTCAGCATGACTTTTACCTTATTAAAAAAAATAGATTTAGGTATTCTGGAAAAGGAAAGTGATGACTTAGTGATATTAACAATATTTTTACAGCATTTTTAGATCAGAATAATCATCTTATAATTTGTGATAAAATTCAGGACTGCCTTCTCTGTTTGTGTTCAATGTCAGTTTCTTGAATCTACATATTTAAAATGAATGATGGAAAAAATCAACCAGAATTCAACTAGTCACAGGGAATTATCTAAATATGAATGAGCAAGCATTATTTAGGAAGTGAAAAGGCCTCATGTTCCATACAGCAATTATCTTGATTGTTCTTTTAAATAAAATTATGGTTACAACTAGGGCTGTCAATCGCAGTTAACTCATGCAATTAACTCAAAAATTAATTACGATTAAAAAAATTAATCACAGTGTTAAACAATAGAATACCAATTGAAATTTATTCAATATTTTTGGATGTTTTTCTACATTTTCAAATATATTGATTTCTATTACAACACAGAATACAAAGTGTACAGTGCTCACTTAATTTTTTTATTACAAATATTTGCACTGTAAAAATGATAGTATTTTTCAATTCACATCATACAAGTACTGTAGTGCAATCTCTTTATCATAAAAGTGCAACTTACATATGTAGATTTTTTTTTTTGTTGCATAACTGCTCTCAAAAACAAAACAATGTAAAACTTTAAAGCCTACAAGTCTACTCAATCCTACTTGTTCAGCCAATCGCTAAGACAAACAAGTTTATTTACATTTACAGGAGATGCTGCTGCTTGCTTCTTATCTATAATGTCACCTGAAAGTGAGAACAGGCATTCACATGGCACTTTTGTAGCCAGCGTTGCAAGGTATTTATGTGCCAGATATGCTAAACATCCATACGCCCCTTCATTGATGATGCTTGTCAGGGTTCCTTCCTCACTCTGAACTCTAGGGTACAGATGTGGGGATGCGCATGAAAGACCCCCCCCCCCAGCTTATTCTTACCAGTTTAGGTTTAAAAACTTCCCCAAGGTACAGACTTTGCCTTGGCCTTGAACAGTATGCTGCCACCACCAAGCGTTTTAAGGCCGTCTGTCTATCATGCTCGTTTTTGTTCTTTCTAGGGACTGAGAGAGGCCAGACAGAAATCCATCTTTTCCAACCCATCCTAATCCAAGTCTCCAATATTGCAACCAGTATAGGTAAGTCAGGCAAGGCAGATTAGGTTCTTTTGTTTTATGTGAATTTTCCCTGTGTTAAGAGGGAGGTTTATTCCTGTTTTCTGTAACTTTAAGGTTTTGCCCAGAAGGGGATCCTCTGTGTTTTGAATCTGAATACCCTGTAAAGTATTTTCCATCCTGATTTTACAGAGGTGATTCTTTTACCTTTTCTAGAATTAAAATTCTTCTTTTAAGAACCTGATTGATTTTTCATTGTTCTTAAGATCCAAGGGTTTGGGTATCTACCAGTTGGTGAGGATTATTATCAAGCCTTCCCCAGGAAAGGGGGTGTAGGGCTTGGGGGGGATATTTTGGGGGAAGATGTCTCCAAGTGGGCTCTTTCCCTGTTCTTTGTTTAAAACGCTTGGTGGTAGCAGCATACTGTTCAAGGCCAAGGCAAAGTTTGTACCTTGGGGAAGTTTTTAACCGAAGCTGGTAAGAATAAGCTTGGGGGGGGGTCTTTCATGCGGGTCCCCACATCTGTACCCTAGAGTTCAGAGTGAGGAAGGAACCCTGACAATGCTCGTCTAAAAAATAATGCATTAATTAAATTTATGACTAAACTCCTTGGGGGAGAACTGTATGTCTTTTTGCTCTGTTTTACCCGCATTCTACCATATATTTAATTTTATAGCAGTCTCGGATGATGACCCAGCACATGTTTGTTTTAAGAACACTTTCACAGCAGATTTGACAAAATGCAAAGAAAATACCAATGTGAGATTTCTAAAAATAGCTACAGAACTCGACCCAAAGTTCAAGAATCTGAAGTGCCTTCCAAAATCTGAGAGGGATGAGGTGTGGAGCATGCTTTCCAAAGTCTTAAAAGAGCAACACTCAGATGCGGAAACTACAGAACCTGAACCACCAAAAAAGAAAATCAGCCTTCTGCTGGTGACATCTGACTCAGATGATGAAAATGAACATGTATAGGTCCACTCTGCTTTGGATCATTATTGAGCAGAACCCATCATCAGCATAGACGCATGTCCTCTGAAATGGTGGTTGAAGCATGAAGGGACATACGAATCTTTAGCGCATCTGGCAAGTAAATATCTTGTGACACCGGCTACAACAGTGCCATACAAACGCCTCTTCTCACTTTCAGGTGACACTGTAAACAAGAAGCAGGCAGCATTATCTCCTGCAAATTGTAACCAAGTTTGTTTGTCTGAGCAATTGGCTGAAGTAGGCCTGAGTGGACTTTGTTTTGTTTTTCAATGCAGTTATTTTTTGTACATAATTCTACATTTGTAAGTTCAACTTTCATGATAAAGAGATTACACTACAGTACTTGTATGAGGTGAATGTAAAAAACAAAAATAAATATTTGTAATCAATAATAAAGTGAGCACTATACACTTATATTCTGTGTTGTAATAGAAATCAATATATTTGGAAAATGTAGAAAACATCCAAAATATTTAAATAAAGGGTATTCCATTATTAACAGGACGATTAATTTTTTTAATCGCTTGACAGCCCTAGTTACATGTCCAAGTTATCTGTAGTGGATGATTTTACAAAGTCAGAGTTAATCACTTTTATTCCAGGAAGGAGACAGTCAGAAGTTGTATTTATAATGCTGCTTTGGAACTGGAAAGATGTAATTTCTCATACATCTGTACTATAGTATACTCTTTTCCTGCCTGAATTCCAAGGATCACAGAAGATTCCTCGTGGGTGCTGTCAAGTATTCTGGGTCAGTAGACATCCACCTGAGTTGAGTGAGACAAAATTGTTTTAAAGGCTCCTGGGAGTATTGTTTCTATCAAAAAAACCAAATCCAGACCACAAAACTAAAGCAACCCATAGCAACCAAGAGGCCAGATCCTCACCTAGTGTAAAGCAGTGTAGCTCTACTGACTTCATTGAAGCTACAGCAATTTATAGCAGCTCAGGTTCTGCCCCAAGGAATTTGAAACCTGAGCTTCTATTGACAAACAGTTTAATTAACAAGCCCAAATTCCATACTCCAAATGGTTCCCACAGTTTGAAAAAGGTTGTGAATTTCTCCACATCCTCTTGGCACCAGTTAGTCTTTAGTGGATCCAGGTCATGTATATTCTTATTCTTTTCTTACTACAACAAGTCTATAACAAGTGCTGGTCTGCAGAATATGTACAAAATATGTGTCTTGTAAAGATGCTCTTGAATGTCACTAGAATCAGCAAAAAAAAAAAATCGAACAATCACTAAGTTTCTAAAAAAATCATCCATTTTGTGCTCAAACTTAGCAGGAACTGTTTTAGTCCTTTAGCTAAACCAGCCTATAGAAAATGCTTGTGAACTGCTTCCTTTAGAAATTGTTACTGCATTTTCATAAGGTAATAGGAACAATGGTATATAAAAGCAGAATGTTGGAAGGAGTTTTCTTTCTTTCCAATTAGGTATGAGCTGTGTGGTGAGCAAAGTCATAGCCATCTTTAAAGCCTTTGGGAAGTTACATTAATGAACTCCTACTGAAGCTCAAGATCTTTAAGGTCCTGTACTTTAAATACAGACACTTTATTCATAGAATCACACCAGAAAATAAATGTCACTTAGATAGAGATCTGATCATAATTAAATCACTCAGAAAACTTCACTTTATCCAAGCCCTCTTTCTTAAGGGGTTTTCATTAACTTCTTGTATTAACTATATTGGATCTACTAAGGATAATGCAGTCTACTGTAGCCATTGCATCTTCCTTCTCATATACTTAGATAAAGTCATTTTGTTACTGAGATAAGCTGTTGGTTAATATATCAGGAAGAATGTGACAGGGTAGGGGTGACAGGGTTCAGCCCACCTCCATCACATAGCACGGTCCTCTATGATTTTGGGAGGTTGTATATATCCAACAACTAGGAGATATTGGGAGCAAGGAAACGCTCCTGTGAATAAAAATAGTGTTTTGGGAGGAAATCCTATTTAACCTGTTTCTTAAGGGCCTGGAACCAGGAGCCTTGCAGAGTGGGTAGGGCTCCCCTCATTTCCAACCAATTGGGGTGAGCTTTAGGAAGGGACCCAGCATATATACTGTCTCCTTACGCATTGCAGAGAGTCACTAGCAGGAGAATGACAGCCTGCTGAGTCCTCTGAGGACTAATTTTTATAGTACACTTATTGCCATCTTTCAAAGGGCAAAAGCATAATGGCTACCTATGCTAAACATGTATTGATCAGTGTCTGATTAGAGTACAAATATATAAAGGCATTGGGTATTTACTGATACAACATTTGAGAAGGAAAAAGTGTTAGTCAGATTCTGAGGATAACCCATGTTCATGTTCAACCAAAAGTAGCAAATGTAAGGATCTGTCAATACTACAGTTACAACAATGTGTTTAACACTCTCATACGACCCATTTATATTAGCCTGGTGTCTACACAGCAACTTTTACACAACTTTTACACAACACAGCAAACTGATACAATTTCCACCCGAAAAGAGCAAGATTCAACAATTGTGATGTGAAGTCAATAATCTAGCTGACATGCTTCCTGGGTTGACCCAATGATTCTTAGGTTTATCTCAGTGCAAATTAATGATAAGCATGTAGTTTGTGTCCTGTGGTCGAAAGTTCTTGTCTTTCAGTTCACAAAGTGAAAGCTTGAAGACAAGAATTATTTAGGATTAACTCAGGGTTCGGCAACCTATGGCACCCGTGCCAAAGGCGGCACGCAAGCTGATTTTCAGTGGCGCTCACACTGCCCAATCCTGGCCACCAGGCCGGGGGGCTCTGCATTTTAATTTAATTTTAAATGAAGCTTCTTAAACTTTTTAAAACCCTTATTTACTTTACATACAACAATAGTTTAGTTATATATTATAGACTTATAGAAAGAGACCTTCTAAAAATGTTAAAATGTATTACTGACACGCGAAACCTTAAATTAGAGTGAATAAAGACTCAGCACACCACTTCTGAAAGATTGCCGACCCCTGGATTAACTTGTTAGTCTTTTTAAAATGACACAAAATGCACACACAAAGAGCCAAACTTTGCTTGCATAATTTCAAAATCTTGAGAGTTTAATTCCTGTTAGATTCCAACGGAGAGAGTACAGCCCTTTAACTCATTTGTGGCTGGTAGACTCAGTTTATGTTTTAAGAATTTCAGTTATACTCCTCATCTGGCTGAGCTGGAATGCCTTGAGGGGGACACACAACAGACACAAGATCTCTTAAAGGAGTGCAACATGCTCCCCTCCACACCATCTCAGCTCTGTTGGCCAGTTTAAGATGGGCTAGGATTATTCTTCTGCTCTGTCCTCACCCCATTTTGGGTGTCTAGAGTCATCGGTGGTGTTTAGACTCTTTCGATCCTTGTGCTCAGAGGGCATAAAGACTCTTATAATGGCCTTCTCCACCTCAAGATATGGCAGGGGGAGGGAAATCTTTTGCCCTCTCACTCCATTACTCACCTGCACAGGGCAGGCGTGGTGTGTGTAAGTAAGACACTGATATCAGATGGCAAATACTGACTACCAGTCTCTGATGTTTAGGGGAAGTTATATGAATGGGTGAGTTGAGGTAGTGATTTGTTCTAAACTTGGTGTTTTTATATAGAAATTACTGAACTAAAACTGCCATGTGTGTGCACTTTGGAGCATTTATGGATGGAGTTAAAACTGAACGTTGCTGATGTTCAGAAAAAATGACATAAAATAGAAAAGGAACAAAAGCAGCAGGACAAATATAATCTGGAGATACAAAGGAATTGTTAATTAATGAGGTTAATGGAAATAAGGTTTTAGATATAAATCCAGATGGAATAGGGGAGAAGAAAAAAGGTTGAAGAATAAGAACCATTTTCAATTGTTTTAATGTAATTAGAGCATGAAAGTGTGGAAATGTTAAGAAGCTAATTAAATATGGACATAGTTATTGGCAGAGCCAAAGAATATGAAAGCAAGAGTTCTTAAAGAATTACCATATGAAATTGTTAAATGACTTGCCAGCTCTCTGTTGGTTTGTTTTAAAATAGCATTTTTTTAACAGTTCTCAAAGGAGGATTTCAAAGGATGAATAACTGAAACTGCATTGGTTCTTATATTTCCTGAACCAAATTTTCTCTCCTTAATTGGAACTTGCAAGGTTTAATATCTTCATAAATATTGCAGAGGGATAATTAAATTGTTTGAATTTGCAGACATACCAAGTTAGGAAGAATTTGCAAACACGCTGGAGGAGAAAGAGAGTGACAAAATGTTCCAGAGAGAAATGAAAGAAAGAGAAATGAAAAAAAAACATTCATCTCATTCTACCAATATGTGCCGTTTGGCAAATTCTGCTCCCCAACCTCATCTCTGGCTGTGTAAGCTTCTTTGGTGGAGGAAGTGATTGGCCCCCTGCAGAGTAACACACATGGGACAGGATAGGATGGGCCGTTGATGGACCGGAGGATGGGGGTGTGATAAAGTGGGAATGTTTTTATTGTTTTCTCTGAATACTGTGTGGGTGCCTCTGTTTCCCTTAGGCATTTCTTAAGTATCTAGGTGGTGGGATTCGGGTGTGTGATTGTTGCAGAGCCCTAAAGGGCCAGTTTGATGCTGTCTGCTCAGAGAATGGCTGACACCCTGTCTCCTGGCAACTGATGGCCTGGGCCCCTCCTCCTCTGCAAGGTGACAACTGAAGGTGTTTGAGAATAAAGAGATCAGGCGGTGTCCTGGGGTGTCCTGGCCCGGGAAAGAGACAAAGGCCAGAGGAGGGGCTGGAGGGGGTTTCAGTTTAGAACTGGCTGGGGAAATGGAGGAAGGCCCAGAACTGGGTTCTGGGCTCCCTAACCCCCCCATGATGGACCTGACTGAGGGGTCCTGTTCTCTGTACCTACAAGCTCTGTTTTAGACTGTGTTCCTGTTGTCTAATAAACCTGTTTTACCGGCTGGCTGAGAGTCATGTCTGACTGCAGAGTTGGGGTGCAGGGCCCTCTACGTGTCTGAGTATAGGAAATCAGCTCACTTGGAAAGGTCTCAGCTATGGGTCACACAAAAATACAAACCTGCTGAGTTTATTGTACAATCCTTCAAACTTTGCCGTAACAACCTACATTCATTTAAGTACACAAGCCATATCCTCAGATGTGCCTGAGTTACACTTGGTTTTCTGGTACATTTCCATTCCTCCCTCCCAATAACTCTAGTGGAAGCCAGGGTACAGTTTGGTTTCTGGCCCAGTTTAGACCAGCCTCAGCCCTGATCTCATTTGTGCTAGCCGGAAACACCTCTATGGCATACAGTGCATTCTGGCTATGCCAGTGGTTCTAGCCATGCTTGTATTAAGCTAGAAGGGGATCAGGGCCTGGCTTAGAGCCCGCTATACCAGTGTTACACCACTTAGGCATTCACTTACACCAAGGCAACCCTGGTTTGCTCTTTAGTGGCCCAAAGGGGATGGAAAGATGGCTTAGAATGGTGCACAGATGACACAGCCAGGTCCAGGATCTGGTCCACGATATCATCAGCAAGAATGGGTTTTGCTTCTTCTGAAGAAGTGACTTTCTTGCCATTTTCATTTCTCGAGTTAAACAATGTTCCCAACTTCACACTCACAATGTAAAGTATGTAATCCACATACCTGCAGAAATGAGAAGGGAGCTGCAAATGGTAACCAAGGCTGGTCGAGAGAAGGGTGGAGTTGTTGTGTCGTAGGCAGGCTGCTGGGCTCAGAGTGCTGATTCGCAGCTGCCCAGCACACAGACACTAGGGGAACTGCATGCTCGTCTGCTGGCTGTTGGTGTCTGGGCTCTGAGCCACAGCGGCAGGGCTTTTAAGGCACCCGGGTTACAGACAGCTGCTGACACAACGGTCTTACTGGTCTGGGTTGAACCCCAAATCATGACGGGGCATACACTTCCAAATTTCACCTACAATCCCAGTTCCTGCTAGTCGTGGCACCACTCTGTACATTGGGCAGATCATACTTTTGTCTTAGTCTTGCTTTTGTCAGCTGTTGAGAATTTTTTTAAATGTCATCATTAAGCCTGGCCAATGTCAACTGGCTCATTATATCTATTTCTGAGCTGGAGCTGGTCAGAAATCTTCCTATTAAATTGGGTTTTTTTTCCCCCATTGGATAATGCCAACTTATCAACACTGAAGTGTTCTGCAAGAAAATGTTGACTTTCTCAAAAATTCTGATGGAAGCCAGGTAGGTTTCCTGGCAGCCTGCTGGGGCACCAGGCAGCTCAGAGAGCCTCAGAAATGTTTAGAAAAGGTCAAAGGTAAATGTCATTTTGACTTTTTCTAACGGATATTTCATGGGAAATTTTGAAAGTTAAAATTTATGGTCAGGTCTAGAATTTTGTTTGTTGTTCTAACTTCAGAATTCCCTGCAGAAAGGGGGTTCCAGTTTCTGGTTAGCTCTCCTCAGACCTAGTGTGTCAGGCTGTCTGCAGAGAGAGGCACACATCACATCACCTGGTTTGTATTTTGAATTTTATCTTCACAATCATCGAGGATGGAGACGTAAGTGTTTTAAACATGAAAGCATGGATTCTGTACCACACGGCAGCAGCCATCAGAGGAAAGAACTGAGTCACTGATGTGAATCAGCTCACTGCCACTCTTGAATTGCAGAAAGTGTCATAAACTCTTCTATTTCAAGCTCTGGGCAATTAGTAGAAGTTGAACCCATCGTCATGGATCACAGGCTATCTGCAGGCAGGACAATGCAATCCTCCCAGCTTGCTCCTTCAAGATCTGACTACAATATAGCGTTGAATCATTCAGTCCTTGGATAAAGCACATATACCACAGCCAGCTTGATTCCCTGCATTGCCATTGTAGAGGTTCAGGGACTATGGAATAACTACACTGAAGTCCCAGAGCAGGCTTGTGGCAGAGCTGACCATCCCTAGCTCTCATGGGGAGGATGCTGATTGCATCACTCTAGTTCAGTGGTTCTCAAACCTTTGTACTAGTGACCCCTTTCACATAGCAAGCCTCTGAGTGTGACCACCCCTTATAAATTAAAAATACTTTTTAATATATTTAACACCCTTATAAATGCTGGAGGCAAAGCAGGGTCTGGGGTGGAGACTGACAGCTCGCGACCCCTTGAGGGGTCCCGACCCCCAGTTTGAGAACCCCTGCTCTAGTTCACCTGGCAGCCAAATCATGCTCCCAAGAACTGAGTCTTTCAGCATTACACAGTGCTGTAAGGCGTGGGTTTGAATAGTGCTGTAATAGCGATAAGCTAATGTAAGGTGAGAGACATACTGTCAGACAGAGACAGCTTAAGGATTTGTTTACACGGGGAGATTTACTGACATTATACTGCTCTAATTATGCTAATATAACTCCCTCTGGACACTCCTATTGCAGAATAAAAGTACCTTTTTCCAGTGTAGCTTAAACCACTTCCAAAGCAATGTAAGCTAAAGCATAAGCTCTTGACTGGACTCTGGACTACAGCAATGCAGGCTATCTGGGCAAGAAGCCTTTAGCCTCTAACAAGGCTGCTACTCTGAAATTTAGCAATTAGGAATCTCCAACTAGTGCTGAACTCTGCAGGGTGTCTCCTCAGCAACTCTGACTCATCAGACCTGTCCTCCCCTCCCTGCACTGGCTTCCCATAGAATATAGACTCAAGTTCAAGGTCTTGGCCCTTATCTTCAAGGTGCTCAATGGCCTGGGCCCAGGATAGCTAAACAATCTGTTGACCTAGGTGGGTCTACACTGGGGGGAAGTCCATTTAATTACGCTGCTCAGAGGTGCGAAATGTTGTGTGACTGATGTAGTTAGGTTAATTTAAATTTAAAGCAGAGACCAGGGCTGGTTGAGGATCTACTCTCTTTTTTTGTTATGGCTGCTCTAGTTTTAGGGGCTGGATTTGGTTTCTTCAAGGAGAGCTTTTTTCCCCAGAGTCTTTAAAACAACTTTCTTGTCTCTCTCAACTCAGGTAGATGTCTACTGATTTGGGAGCACCCACGAGGAATCTTCTATGGTCCCTGGAACTTGGGCAGGGATGAAGTACACTGTAGTACAGAACTATGAGAAATGACCGTGAACCTCTTTCAGTTCCAAAGCTGCATTATAGATATAACTTCCTGCAGTGTCCTTCTAGAAATAAAATAATTCACTCTGAACTTGCCCCCAATAGATTTTAAAACTTGAACCTGTTACCACAACTCTCTTTTAAAAGAATAAAAAAGATAATTGTGGTATGCAGCACGAGACCTTTGGAGGGCCCTGCTCCTACTGCTGTTGACATCAAAGGAAGTTCTACTCTTTCAAATGTAGTGGGATAGGTCCCCATGTCCCTGGAATGGCTGCATGAAAATATTTTTTGGAAAAACTGTATACATTAAAAATTAACCAAGAATGTGATTAACAATTATAAACTGGGGATTTAGTTATAGACAAATGCTCTTTAACAAAACTCTAACTCTGCCACTACAAAGTAGCAAAAGGAGAAGAAAAATGAAAAAGCGTCAGGGAAAAACAAACCCTACACATCATTGTTTTATTGCACTCAATGGGAAAGAGAAAAAAAGGGGGGGGAAGCAGAAGAAAGGGAGGGGAAATGGAAATTTTTAAAATTCAAATTTTTTAAAGCAAATATTTTCCTAAATAAAAATCCATGTCAAACCCTGCATAATGGACATCACATTGAATGACCACAAACATTTTTTCCCATCTCCCACTAATTAGAATTCAGCTTGATTCTTTTAGGGCCTGATCCTCTGGCCAGTGAAGTCAATGGGAATCTTTTCATTGATTTAAATGAGTTTGGGATTAAGCCCTCTAGCTCCTACTTCCTACTCTTTATTAAGCCATCCCAGTTTCTCTAAGAAACATAATTTCTCATGTCTCAAATTTTCCTAAAGAAATCAAAGCAATCAATCCATCTGTTTTATTAGGCCACATGTGACTTGTATTTTGCAACTACAAGGAAAAAAACATACAATCTAAAACAACAGCAACATACATATAATACATGAACTTCATAAAAACTCTCTTCTTTGGCACGATGCTAAAAAGGCAAAAATTGCCACTGATTTAATTCCTCGTGGAGATTGGGAGAATACTAAAAACACTATCCTTTGACAGGTAGCCGTGTTAGTCTGTATCAGCAAAAAAAAAAAAAAAAAAGAGCAGTACTTGTGGCACCTTAGAGACTAACAAATTTATTTGGGTATAAGCTTATGCCCAGATAAATTTGTTAATCTCTAAAGTGCCACAAGTCCTCC